ACCTCACTGTTATGGTTCTGACATGACAACAAAAGACTCTTGTGCTGACATACACATTAAAACAAGGTCATCATTTACAGTCTGCACCTCCTAAAGTCATAGGACAAACTCTTAACATGCCCATCTTGTAGGGTTTTCTGGTTTTTATCATCACTTCACCATCTGTGTAGTTGCGCTGTGGGTGTAGTGGGCTATTGCCAAGGATGCTGCTTGACAGTAAGTCAATTTCCAAAGACCACATGGTGTCTTGGTTTATAACAGTGGTAATCAAATTATGAGCCTAATTACCAGTCAGAGGCTTAACAGTTTGGGTCAGCTACATTGTAATCTCTTGTTGTCATTGGCCATTCTATGTAAAACGTTACTTCAAGTGAGGTCTTTAATGAGGATGCAGCTTGTGGAGTAAAGACAATAAAGCTGCAGGATTTTAACATCTCAGAGAAGTGGCAGTTTGCTTGCTTTTGCTAATTACTCAATATCATTTGGGCCTAAATGATGCTGTTGTCACCGTCACTGAAACATTTCTGTAAAACATAACTTCCAGTTGTTGTTATATATATATATAAACTATGACCATATAATATTGGTAAAAAAAAAAAGTGTTAGATGCGAGATAAATAATCGTGTCGGCGTTAATTAACTTAAGGGTTAACCGATACATAACGCGTTAACGTGCCCAGCCCTAGATAATACTAATTTTATTTTTTTCTGCTTTTCTCGCATGTTTGACTTCTTTTCCTTTAACATTTACTAAAAAAAACAAGAAACATCATTATATTTACACATATTCGTAACCTTACACGCACAAAAAATGAAAGCCTACAAAAGTAAGATGCTATCTTTTTTCAACAGTGGTGGTTAACAACGCTGTCCGTATGGCGAGGCTGAAGAACAGGAATATCTTAATAATCAAGCAAACTGAGTGTTACTAGTTAAGCTAATTTAACACGTACCGCCTAACGTTTGCTAATGTTTGCATGTTTTGTAGGCTAAACACAAAGTGACAATCTGTTCCGTCTTCCTCTGAACATGGTAACCCTGCCTGCGGAGAAATGACAGCTTGAATAAGTAACGGTTAGTTTAAAAACAACCTTATGCCTAACAGCTGTATCATATATGCTAGCGATGTAAATTGTAGGTATGTTTATCCACTCCACATAGCATCAGACAACAGACAAGAGCAGCAGGGGCAGCGAATGCCTTTAATCTGTTGCCAGTCTGTTACGGTGTTGTAACGTTATGTAGTAGTAATACTGTACGATAGTATGTTCAAAGAATGTAGTAAGTAGATGTTTTTATGATTCAAAACAAATGGATCCAAAATTACGTATGTGTACTTTGAGTAACATATTATTGTAATAAGTTATACTTCGCTCATTAGTACATATCATTTTTTAATCTAATAGTATACACATATTTTATTTATAGTAATATTATAACCAATGTACTCTTGCAGGATTATAAGCCATTAATGGTTAAGTCGCTTTGGCTATTATGGCCCACAACTTTATTTTTTTTCATTTATTTCTCAATGTGTCTTTATCATCAACCTGTATATTTCTGCATGCAAGCGACGACGCCGCATCGGTCGATTGTTAGTCTAAAAATGTCTTCCACCAAACACCTTGCTGGAGAAATGGAGCGAGCGAGTCAACATCGTTCTCTCTGTCCAGCGCCCGACACAAGCGTAGTCAGACAGGTCAATGTGAAGTCTAACCGTTGGAAGTCAATATTGGAAAGTAACTAATAGATTACAATCTTCAGGGGCCACATACACACGATCATTACCTTGACAAGGTCCAGGAAGAACTCTCTCTGTCACTGTTTAAGCGAGTAGTCCATACAATAGATATATCTCTGTAAAATCCCACTAAGTTTACATGTTCCCATTGTGTAGGATTGTATTTTCAATGTCACTATATATGACCTCTCAAACACCACACTAGCTATTTATTGCATATGCTACTGTCAGTTACAATGTATGATAGTAGTATGACCCTTTAAACTCTAGATTACCCCCTGAAATCAAGTGTATTTATTCCCGTTCATCTCTAGGACATCTAGCCCAAGTATTGGCAATAAGGAGTCCAATTAAGAAGGATCTTTATTCGGTATGAAATATCTATTTTCCCAAAAACTGCGTAAACAATTGACTAAGTGAGCACATATTCCTCCAGAAGATCTTAGTGCGATAGGTATGTGTGGTTCTGATATCTCAATATCATAAGCGTAGACGTTATACGATCAAGCAAATAGGAAGACTTAGTATCACCGATATGATAGATTCACCACGTTGCTATTGCTATAGCCTTATCTATTAATGAAACAAAGCAAATACCTAGCTGCCTGAAATTCAACTGGAAATGCAACTCAGATGATAAGATTTAGGTGCAATGTAGTGCAGAAAGAGAGATGATTGGAACTAGCGAGAAATCATGTCCTTCAGGATGTGAATCATAGATAACTAGATTCTCGAGTATATCCACGAAGATAAAACTCAACTGTTAGGTCCGAGTGCTACATAAAGTCACACATAGTACAAAAGAATTGTCTTTAGAGCTGAGGAATATATCAAGGAATCACACAATACTCAAAAACAAGGATAACGCATTTTACAGTCTGAGCACCTCTTTAGAAAGTCATATGGGTACACATTGCTTTAAACACTGGCCAAAAATTCTTGTAGGGTTTATCTACTTTGAGAGATATATTTATCCATCAACTTCCACCATTGCGATGATGTCAGATTGTTTGCGCTCGTATTTGGATATGTAACAAGAATACAGCTGACCTTGAGACTGAAGAAGAGAGAATTGCGTGCATTGACAGTGAGTACGTCCAGATAATAAGTATCAAAATTGGTGTATACCTTGTTTATAAACATTGGTAAGAGAACGAAGAAAACATGTGCAGTGACGCCCTCACGTATCTACCATAGTCGAGTTGAATAGGCTGATTAGACAGGGGATCAGGCCTACATTAGTAAAAAGTAACTCATTGTGTATGTCAATTGGACCAGTTCGTAAACTCCATCTTGATGTATATACGTATTACTGCAGACCTTTTCCTTTAAAAGGAAAAGTTCATTGGTTCGAGAGATGAGTCTTTAATGTAGGGAGAATGCACAGCGTTAGTGGAGCCTAAAGAACAATAAAGAACTGCAGGATTTTAACATCTCAGAGAAGTGCAGTTTGCTTGCTCTTTTGCTAATTATTCCTAACTATTGCGGTGGATTTTGTGGCTAATATCTTTGATTCTTGTCTAAGTTTGTCTACTTGACACACATCTAGAATTAGAAGGAAACATTTCTCCAGAGATCAGTGAAAGAGTGAACATAACCTCTATCGAAAGATCTGATAAGTGTTTAGAACATATGATGCTTATATTGTGTGATACCAAAATAAAAAAACCCCAAAACAAAACCATAAATTAACGACATCAATATATATTATAATAATCAAAAGCAAGGGATTTAAGGCTTTAAGCAAGCAGGTGAATGTGGGTCATTTGACAGCCTATTGTATATAGTGGATTCGCAGTCTTCATCTCTTATCCTCTCTCGCTTTCGCCTGTGTGTGCTTGAGTGTTGCGAGATATAACAGAAAAGAGAATGGGCAGGAATCCAGGATTTAACGACAATATATTAAGAAGGGGAGGAGCAACTGCATTGATTGTTTTTCTTCTCTCACTCTCAGCGAGAGATTTCAGAAGTTTTACATATATACTAAAACTTCAATAAATCACATGACATTGGCATTAAATAAGCCCCCGCAATGATTTTTTATTCACACATCCTATGTCTTTTTATTAATTTTCTTAGAGAGTTTTTTGCGTCAACAATTAATGACCTTTCGGCTGTGTCCCGCTGTGTTGGTGTGTAGATGTGCTTGTTTTGAGTAGATGAACGTGTAGCTGTTGGCAATCTGTCGCGCTATATGCACTCAGATGAAAGCATGGCAACCTGATAGTAGACCTGGCACATGCTCTGTGAACAGTTTTGCCTCTCAATTTGCTTTTCGATGCCCGTAACGTCCGCGTTAATGACCAGCTGTATTCTAGGTGCGCAGCGCAGAAGGTTATACAATGAAAATGAGCCGAAATATAGATAACATATCGAGAAAAGTTATTAAAAATCTATCTGACCTTAGTGCTGACGGCACATGTGTTTGGATAAGTGAACTGTCAAAACCTGCAAGGGCTGCCATACTTCATGTCTTGATCAGACATCAATGCCACTTTATGTACATGAACCACACTTCTCTCACAATTACAGGAGCGAGTCTCATATTTGCAGATCTGCTAGTTCTTCGTTGCGTCTTCAAGTTTTGATTAAGAATGGAAAATTTGGTGATCATCTTTCG